CATTTTTCAAAGTTCAATGTCACGCAACATTGAACTTTATAAAAATCGTTGATATATGATCTTCACAAATGAACGATACTGTTGAGCTGAGTAACTCTAGTATACATCAGCCAATCGATATGAGGTGAGTTTCTACGATCAGAATTACCTGAGCTCTATTTATGCTAAAAGTATGACTGCGAATAGTTGAGGTTTAAATAGTTTGCAACGGGATGCGGCACTGTTTACGACTACGTTATATATGTAGACTGTTAGCAAATGCATTCTTCAGTCATCCGTGCTAGAAATGATGTAAGCTCCAAAACTGATGAAATTTCTATTACTTTTAAAAACTTTTGGTTTCTACTACTACTATTCTCTATCGAGTTAATGGAATTTTTGTAATTTCGGTTATTGGGAAAATATGAACATACAATCATTGACATGAAGATGCTTTTTATTTTATTCCAGTGATCCAAACACAATTTGACAATAATGTTAATTGAATTTGAAAACAAAACTGATCCATATATCAATCAATTGTCGACGGAAGATCATGGTAAAATTCATCAGCATCATCATAACCATAAAAAGGTTCATGATGGAAAACCACATTTTGCTGTATTCTTAGCTGCTTTTACTTCATTGGGTGGCTGGTTTTTTGGCTATGATCAAGGTGTTACAGGTGGTATTGTTGTCATGAGTTCATTTAAAAATGACTTTTGCATTGGTGTGTACGCGAATGAAAGTGTTTGCAATCTTCCCATAGTTGCTTTACCTCACCAATACAGAAGATTTTTGATCCTCTTTACCTTATTGTACAATGTCGGATGTTTCATCGGTGCTGTGCTTATATGTTCCTATGTAGCAGAAAAATATGGACGCCGAGCTATTATTTTTACATCGTCCGTTCTTTTTTTGGTTGGCACCTGTATGGTTATTCTACCACCAGGAGGCTCCCAAAAGATAATGATTTTTATACTTATTGGACGAATTATCGAAGGCACTGGTGTAGGTTGTTCGTCGTTTTCTTGTCCTTTATATGCATCAGAAATCGCTCCAACTAATTTACGTGGAATGCTATCTGGCTTCATGCAAATGACTGTAGTCATGGGCTTGTTTGCTGCTAATGTAGTTAATATTTTGTGTCAAGATCATAAATGGGGCTGGCGATTATCAAATGGTATTATTTTAATTGCTCCTCTTACGATTATGATTGGTATATTTTTGTGTCCTGAAACTCCACGATGGTTGTACAAGAACAAAGGTCGTGAGTCAGCCGAGAATAGTTTAAAACGCATTCGTAAAATTGATGATGTAACTGCTGAGTTGGACGCTATTTCCGATGCTCTACAAGAAGAGGGTAATCAAGTTTCAATCAAAGAACTATTTACAAGAAAGAAAATGCTTCAAAGACTTTGTATTGGTATGGGCATGCATATTTTAAATCAAGGAACGGGTATTAATCCTATATTTACATTTGGTGGTATTATATACGAAAGTGTTCTTGGAAAAGGTATCATTTCATTATTGATTTTATCTGGGGCAAATATGCTAAGCACAATACCAGCGTTATTCTTACTTGATAGACTAGGCCGTCGAAAGCTTCTCATATATTTTGGCTTAGGTATGGTAGTTGGTCATCTTCTGTCAGCAACGGTATTTATAACAGGTTGCAGTGTAATCAAAACAGTCATCAATAATACTACAACGAGTGAAGAATTTGTGAATTGTAAAGCAAATTATGGTATATTAATGCTTATCTTTACAGTTGTTTTTGTAGCTTTTTATGCACTTTCTTGGGGAGCAGTCGTTTGGGTTTATTTAGCTGAGATTTTCCCTCTGAATGTTAGAGCTAGAGCTGTTTCATTAACGACAGGAAGTAACTGGTTTATGGGAATAATTATGTCTTACATATTGGAGTTAATAGCACCAATAGGAATTCATGGAGTCTTCTACCTATTCAGTGCTCTGTGCCTATTAGCTGTAAGTTTTGTATATCTTTTTTGTCCAGAAACCAGAGGAGTTTTACTAGAAGATATTGAAGAACAATTTGATAATTTCCACTTGAAGGATAGACCAGCAATAAAAATATTATGTAAACCATTCCAACGGATGCAAAAAGAAACGATTCAAGTGAGCATTGTTGGAATGCAAACATAATGTTTCTATACAGGAATTAGCATCTATATACTCTTTCGTTAGTTTTTTTTCTTTTCAATTCTTTTATTTCTGATTATCATTATGGCGATATCCAGGCAGTGAATCAGACCTTGAATGTTTTTTATTACGGACGTTCAATTCCAAATTTGATCGATTGCAATTTGCGGAACTGATTGAGATCGAAATGAACTTGGATTTGATAGAATTGGTTGGTATTACTCTAGTATTAGTCCCCATTGGCCTTGGCTTCGTTAAACTTGGCATCGGTTAGAGATAATCATTTTACCAGTTACTCGGTAAGACAGTAACGACGAAATTCTAAATTTTATTAGTCTATTAAAAAAAATGTTTTTCTGTGAAAATAACGATCTTTTATAAAGTTTGATGATATGCTTCCTGTGTAAATTTCACTGAAGCAAAAAATATCGTATACAGTTGTGAGATACTGACTGTGGACTCACATTCCTCTATCCGAAAATCTTTTGTTCAATCTTATAAAAATCGTTATTTTCTCGAAAAAATTACCTGTGTAACGATAATCTCCAATTACTAGCCAAATACCCATTTCGAGTGAGTTCGTAGCAATTCGAATCAATTCCAATCCCAAACGATTTCGATCAATCACAAGATTAGAATTGGAATTAAACATTGATTATCATTGAAATCAGAAGACATTTTTTCAGCAAACATTTACACGCAATTTCTCAATTTGTTTACTCCTTCGACTTTCTTCCTAGATCTTCTCTTGCTAAAAGTTAGATAAGAAACACTTTGTAATTCAATATCATGTTCTTTTATGCCGATTTCGATTATTATGGTTATTTTGCATGAATGTCAACATTTAAATATCAAACTCTCGAAATAGTGTTCAGCTTTAAATATTTTTTGTATGAGAGCAATCATTACTGACTTTTTGCTACAACTGAATAATGCTCAAGGTCTGATTCAGTGCCTTCATGTTCTCATAGTGATCATAATAAAATAAAAAAACGACAAAATGAAGGGAGTTGTATGCTTTGATGGAATAGTACGAATCCCCTTTCCATTTTATCTTAACTTTTTTAATGTGAACCTTACGTACTATTTTATCTGCTATAATTTTTTTGTTCATCTTCATTGTATCAAATAAACACTTAAACAAAGCAAGACTTTATGTTCTACACAATTGAACTTGAGTATTGATTTGAAAAGGTATGATGCTTCAACTTGTTTAAATAACTAATCGATCATTGTTGATGTATGTTAAGTTCAATCATCTGCAATTTTCGTACAATTTTTTGATGACGAATTTCTGTAAAACATTAACCAGAAATACAATAAATTTTATTTTAAAGTTGAAATACTTGAGTAATCTAGTTTCACGTAAATCTATTGATACTAATTGACATAATTCATTATCAGGTTGAATTGTTATTAATTTACTAATACTCTTTTGTCGAAAACGATTAATTTATTCCTAAAGAATACATGATTTAATATAACGATTATTATATTTAATGCATAGATTAGTCAATTTGCAAGTATTCTTACAGTAAATGTTTGAAGTAATCCTAATGATGTTCAATACAAAGTTTTACTCTTTCAATCCATTTCTAGAATGCTTTTTAGTATTCTTGAATAGGTTTTGAGTTGAGTTCCTTTGTTATGGCTTTAACTTAATTTGTGGAAGCTGAATATGCACTGAAGCTACGTCTCACACGACTGAACAATCAAAAGTTTGAAATAGCAAAATCAGACATACATATTGAATGAAACATAAATCAGATCTTTTTTGTCTTGAAAATGTTAAGATTGAAAATAATGCCATTCTTATGTGGTTTTGTATTTTGATTGTGCAAATTTTTGCTACTTATTGTTGATGATGTGTTTTTCTTACCTAGATTTTTTATAAATATCTTCAAACATTCATCACAATAGTTTATGTGATAACTATGCAGTAATGACGATCATTGGACGAATATTTTCGAGAATCATCTTGCAGAGATGTGAATGTGGGTAAAAGACCGAAAAAGAACCGAACTTGACTACTGTAATTTTTGACGAGCAAATGAATATGGACAAACGCCTAAGAAAAATGACTGTCAGCTGTAGACGATTATCAAACGATTTTCGATGAATCTTTTTATACCAGAGATTAGGAGTAATCAATTGACATTTACAAAAATATATTAAATCCAGAAATAAATTGTAAAAGATTTTATTTTATTTCAAATTGAAACCAAATTTATAAAAGTTTTAAAATAATTTAAGTTACATCTAAATATGCTTGAAGTATTTCAAATTTCATTTTAATTAATTTCAGTTGAAATTTGTATGATTGGTTTTTCTAAAATCAAAATGAACCTTTAATCTCTCAGGTCTGCTCTCAAAGATATGTTTACAAGTTGTGTAATATCACTAGAAAATAACAGGAAAGGAACGCGACTGTTTCCTTAAAGAATCTGCCTCTCTTCTTATTTCTGATTTACTTTTTTTTGAAGTCATGTATTTTGACAATTGGGTTTATGAACTTAAATTTTAAAATAATCATTAAATCCAAGAATAAATTCTAAAAAAATTAAATCTAAAATAAAGTTAAATTTAATCAACATAAAAATTTTAAATTATTTTAAATTAAAATATTCCTACCGAAAAACTTTAATTTTTTTAAATTTAAATTGCCAAGAATTTTAATTTAAAATAAATTTACAGCGAAATGTCAAACATATTAGGGGCCGAAATGAGCTGAATCGAACTGCATTTATTCGAAAAGATTTATTGCGTTGACTATTTTTCGAACCGATTCGATAACACTTGTTGCTGCATAAATTTGGTGTCTATGATTCATAACTAATCATTCATACAGCTTTCACAAATCCTTGATGGTCAAATGAATAGAATGATATGGCTTTGATGTCGTTCGAATGAGGCTTCTTTTCACTCACCTTAAAGCTAAATAAGTCTATAGCGTAAATGTATTAATGCAAGAGTATTTATATGATACCGCTTTGTTAAATCGATTGTGACAAAAGTTGGTGCCATGATTGATTTGTTGATATCTTTATAAATCAATCAGATACCACCGAGAAATTGAACAATTTGATTTTGCAGACTGAACGAAACGTACTGAAACATATCGAATGCACGAGAAAAAGAATATCAATATTCATGTTTGCAAGTGTTTTATTGAATCTTTAACCATTTCTTATGTATTGATAAGGCTAATGAATATTTTTGTCCAAGTTTCCTGGAATCTTGATCAATTACTAATAAGCGAAATATTGCAGATATTGAAGGTTTTAAAGGCTTTTGGATATGTCCATCATATTCCAGAACGGATATGTTGATACAAGCACCCTAAATATAATGAGGTATATACGAAAACCAGTATCGCAGATATTACAGATAGATCATATCAACCAATACCTTGTGTATTCGTGTCACCATGAAAGAAAAAAAGGTGGTAAAACAATCGAAGTCTTTAAATAGGGAAATGTATAGAAATACGTAGATGTATGAGACTATGTCTAATCGATTAGTTGCTTATTTTGCGTTGAATTATTCAATGATCGAAAGAATATTATTCATCGCTAAAAGACATGAAAATAATACTTCAACGACTTCTAGTATCGCTTACAGCTCATCTTTATAGGTTATTTAGATATCATTATATCGATGTGAGGATATGTTGAGGGATATTAGAGAAATAGAGATATACGACTATACCTTCTATATTTCTGTATTTGCGTTACTAGTCTTTAATTTCCTNGAATGACATTAATATATCTTTTTTGACTAATGTTGTTATGTTTTCATCTCACTTGATCATTCGACTGTTATAACTGGAAAGTGATTCGCTCATCTTTCTGTCCTACAAGTGATATAAATCTATGTGACAGATATTACGCTTTATTTTTCTATTTACTAATGTTAAAAATTAAGTTTTGGTAAATCGAAAAAAAAATATCGGAGTCGAACTTGTAACTGACTTCGACTCCAACTCCGACTCCGAACCTGAAAATTTTTTTTCAGCAAACCCGACTCCGACTCCGAGAATTTTTGTTTTTTCGACTCCGACTCCGACGGAGACGGAGTCGGAGTCGGAGTCGGAGTCGGAATCGGGTTTCGGAGTCCTCCACAGTTCTCTACTCCAAAGACGTAATGTTTGTAAATAAGGCATATAAGTATTCAAAAAAGGTACAAGATATTTGCCAATCTGAGTTGAATCATTTTCATCAATATTACAACTTGAAATACCAAATTCAGCATATCGAACAGTATTTAATGCATTTTTTCTCAAGTGATGAAAAGACTACAAATGATATGAGATAATTATTTTATTTAATTATATAAATTCAATTTCTTTTTATTTACATTGTTTTAAATAAATATACGTTTAATTTAGAGTTTAGTGAATTAATTTGTAAAATGAAATCGAATTCAATTTATATTTTCTAATCATCTCATGAGTCATTAGATTTATTTCTTACTCGATATTATTATAAGATTAAAATAAAAAAAAAAAAATCTAGTTGAAAAAAATAATAATATCTTAAAAAATCTTATAATAACAATTTAATGTAAAGAAAATCTTAGAACACAAATATTTGTGCATATTTAGTTGTTAGTTGAAAAATTCTAACAAAGAAAATAATAAGATTTTCAAATATTTAATGATCTGTTTGACAATTATATATTTGAAAAGTTCAAATCAAATCAAAACTTACACATTGAATAACATATAAAAGCCATTCAAATTTTTGAACAAAAAGATATTTAAGTTGAACAGGCATTAAAATAAGAAGATCAAGTATTATGATACATTCTCTATCTTGATATGTCAATTCCCTAGAAGGACCTAGAAAAGTAAATCTTGTTTAAATTCTTATTTATAATAAGAAAATATAATTTTAAACACCAATATAAACAAGGATTGATAGTTCTACAATGAAGGAAAAAGTAAGACTTCATTTATAATTTCAACGGTGCTTCGAGTGAACAATTACGATAGATCGTGATAG